GCTGAGAGGAGCAGCGGGAGGGTCAGGAAAGGTCTGCTGTGCCATGTGGGTCACCTCCCTGGCCAGGGATTGAACTCATGCTGCAGTGGTATTGGACAGCTTCATAGTGCTGTGCTTTAACCCACTGCACCACCACAAAGGACCCAAAAGTACAATGTTTTTAAATGCATCCTGTGCCTAAAATAGAACCACTTCTTTCAGGAGGTAAATAGAGGGATGGCCTACTTACTCATTCATGGTGGTCAGGCCATGACCAAAACTCTTTACAAGAGCTCCAGGGGATGAATTTTGAGCTCATATTCTCTCATTTCATTTCCATGATTCTAAGAGGTAGATGGTGTCCCCATTTTGTAGGCAAGGAAAGTAATGTTCAGGAGAAGTAAGTGAGTTGCTCAAAACTCAAAGCAGTCTCCTGAATAAGGAGGACAGGAAAGATTTCATGATGATGGAGAAGTTGGAGGTGAAGCTTGAATTGCATAGAAGACGAATTCTGATTTGTTTCAGGGAGCTGCAGAATATTTGGCTAATAAATTGGAAAGTAGGATTGTGTAGAACCTTGCTTTGGTTATCACTTGCTGCACAATGAATGACCTTAAGTGACTTAGAACAACAGTCTTCATTTATTTTGTTTGTGTATCTACAGTTTGAGCTGGGGTCATCAGGGACAGCTTATCTCTGCTGCTGGGTGATATCAGCTCCCAAGGCTGGAAAGCAGAAAGTTGATTCCAGTCACCGGTCCTTCTCCATGTGGGCTTCTCCTTGGGGTAACGAGCTCTTTAGAGCATGGTGACCGGGATCCAAGCATTGAGTGTCCCAAAGCAATAACTGCAATGCTTTAGCCTTCAAAGTCACATGGAAGCACTGACACCATAGTTCGAGTCCACCCACATCCAAGGGGCAAGGAACATAGACTCTCATTAAGGAGCATAAAAGTCATGTGATGAGATGAGCATACAGAATAGAGATATTGTCACAACCACTCTGAAAGTATAGTCGTCTGGTCATTATCGCCAAAGTCTGAAATCCACATCCTGGATAATTATAGATAGTAGTCATAGATCATAATTATGCTGTTTCTTAAACACAGAGAGATGTCCCACCTGGCTGTTACCTCTGCCTGGAATCTCAGGCATCTACTTGGTTCACCTGTTTACCTATTTGTTCAAATTACAACTTCTCAATAAGATCTACCTTGACCATCCCCATTTAATTCCACCTCCACCCTACCTCCCAAGCCCTCTAACTTTTCATTTTCCATAGCACCTATCTCCTATTGTGTACTTACCTATAAGGGCATTCTTTATCTTCCCTGGCTTGAACAGAAGCTCCAAGAGAATCTTCTCTTTTTCACTGATGCATCTCAACACAGTGTCTGGCATAAAGTAGGTGCTCAATAAATATTTGTTGCACTACATGGAATCCTATTAACTTACATAGTGAGAAGATCAGCACCTTTTAATTATCCCTGTAGTCTTTCTAATTCCTTCAATAAGGAAGTCTTGACTCAGTATCCATGTGTCTTAAACTCCCCATGGACATCTTCTAATCTCCCTTGAGGACATGAGAACAGATCCAGAGTCAGAGTCAGGGACAAGTGGCCACATAAGCAGAACTTCTCCACCCTACCTGGACACAGGGAGTTTAAAAAAAAAGGCAAAAAATAAATGCCTGGGCCCACCTGGGTTTAGTAATCGGGAGTAAAATAAAGCCAATTCCTCTCTCAATCCCCCTTCCTTTTGTTTTTTTTCAATTCAGCCTGGATTCTACAGTGTTGCCTGGGTTAAGAGCTACTGTGTTGCAGTTCATAACACTTTGTGTTGTTACTGTATCTAATCAAATGGTTATTTTTTAATCTATGACAAATGAGTTCTAAAAGTGATACAGTGTTTTCTATTTTAAATTTATCAGGGCGTTCAAAAGGAATAGATTTAAAGAAAAACATAAGTAGCAATTTGAGCATTGGCGGAAGGCCTGATTGATACTTGTTATCCTGATGTTACAAACAGCGAAAGTGAGACTGACAGAAAGAAGTAACTAGTCAAGACCCAAAAAGCTAGAAAGTAACATTTTGGATAAAGGGAGACTACGTCACGTCTGTAACTATAGGGCTACTACATCAGGTCTTTATCGCCCTCTAGTGGTAGAGTTTATTTGCACCCAAAGGGAGCACATGGCATTTATTCCTTGTAAATGGTTTTTCAAATCCTGTTTTGGGCCTCGAGTATGTTCCGTGTACCTAATTCTTTTTTTCTTTTTGCCTGTCACCAAAGTACTCAGCACAGTTTCCTGCAAGTAACAAATGTGCACGTAGATATTCACGGTGCTATTCACCAACTCAATGTTGAATATGATTCCCAGTAGCAGTGGAGCGCTATCTCAGATGAACTTGAACTCAGAGCAGACCTTGAGTTCACCAGACTTTGAGTCTTATCTCAGGCAATGGGAAGCCATAAATGTTTTCAGAGCAAATTATGTGCAGTGAGGCATTTCTCCAGGGAAGTCCAGTATAGTGGACATTTGCAATTTACTCTCTTAGCATCCTTCTCATCGCCCACTTTTTTTTTAGGTTACAACCCTTGATCTGAGGCTCCTCTGAGGGTCAATGTGATCCTTGAGCCTATAGGACACTTTATTATAAGTTTTTAAATGGCAGCCCCTTTCAGGAAAATGTCAACTGAAATGTTGACATTTGTTCTGATGACAGAACGTAAGGTTGAAGGGGAGACTTTTGCATTCACTTGCCCTCTCTGTACCCCTTCCCCCATCAGACTTGTAGTCAGAACAGGTTGCGCCCCATTGTTGACTCACTGATGCAAGGAACTTCAAGGAAAGACAGAGTTGTTTCAAGCCCAGGCTGGGTGGCCTTGGATAAGTCACCTTCCTTCTCTGAGTCACATCTATTAGTATAAAGTGAGAATATGTTCACCAGTCTGGTGAGGTGTGTGAAGGGTGTCTGGGCCAATGATGTATATGGTATGGCATGTAGCACCCAGTAGCCACTCAGCAAATAGGAGTAGCCTCTCTTCTCTTCCCATTTCCCCCTCTCTCAGTCAGGCCAAATGGACTTGCTTCCATCCCATTTTGAGTGGTACCTTTGATACCATTCCAGACACACATCTTTTGCAGAAAATGTCAAGTGCATGGATACTAAAACTCATTCAGGTTAAGAACATTTTATTATGCTCTCTCCTTAAGCTGCACAACAGCTTGCTTTCTATTTATCCAACTGATTCCCACCCCAGAGGCTTCACGCCTACCCTTCCCTCCTCCCAGAATGTTCTTGCCTGGCTCTTGGTTGGCTTCCTCTTCTCAACTAGGGTTCAGCTGGAAAGTGCATTTCCCACTGATCATCCATTTGAAAGGCCTGCTGCCCCTCCCCACAGTTCTCTAGACTATCACAAAGCTTTATCTTTTTTCTTTTTCTTTTTGGATAGCTCTCAGTGTCTGGAATTGCCTTCTTTCTGGGACTTTTGTTTACCTAACATGTATATCCTCACTAGGTGGGGGTTTTGCATGCCTTTGCATTCCCAGGGGCTACTGTCATACATAAAATAGGAAGTGAGTACCTACTTGTCAGAGAGGCCAGAAATAGGACTGAATGAATGAGTGAATGAATGGGAAAATAGATAAGTAGAAGGAGTGTTGAAGCTTTGGATGGCTAAATGAATAGACAAATGGATGGCTAAATACACATGGATGAATAAATGGATGTGTGGGGGGGATGAACAGATAGTTGGATAAATAACTAGATAGAAAGGGAATGGGCGATGGGCAAACAAAGGATATAGAAATCCATGGATACATAAATGGATGGGTGAAGGATGGTTCAATGAAGAGTTCAATGGGTGGATGGAAATATTAATGAGTAAATGGATAAAAAGATAATAGGTAAAGAACTATACAAATGCATGAAAGAATAAGTCAATGGATTATTACAGAAAGATGAATGAATGGTTCAGTTGGAGCTCAGCAGATGACTGAGTAGGTGGGGGGGATGAATAGATGTGTGATGAATAGATAAATTAGTGGATGGATAAATTAGAGGATGAGCGGAGAGATGGATGTTTGCCAGATTCCATGATAAGCACTTTATATACATCATCTTGTTTTATCCACATATAAATCCCAAGAGGGAAAAGTAATCTCCATTTTACAGATAAGGTGCTTGAACTTCAGAGGTAGGAAAAAATCACTTCCCCAAGAGTATCCAATTACAACATGGTAACCCGTGTTCAAACTTAGGTCTGCCTAGCTCCCAACCCTGTGCCCCCAGTCACCACCATCCTCTACTTCTCTCCTCCCCCGCGAGCATAAACTGGCCACCTCAGCTTCCCTCCTGAGGTGCACAACCCCAGTGTCCAGATGACCCAGAGCAGACTTCCATATTGCTCCCGCCAATCAGTGAGGCAGTCTCATAAGTTGGGGAGCATGAGTGAGCATATGGGGGGGGGGGTCTGCACACACGTGCATGTGCAGAATGAGATGGCAGAAAACATGTCCATTCTGTGAGATGTCCCCCAAGTACAAGGGATAATGCGTGGCCAAGGATAGGTCCAAAGAGTGTGGTAGTGACCATGCTGTCACAAAGTACCCAGGGACCAAGCCCCGGCCTGAAGTCTTTCCCAGTAGGTCACATAATGTCACATGATGACAGCATCGGGTGATCCAGCCCCACCTGGTCATGTGACAACAGGGAGCAGCAAAAACAAATGAGGACATGAAAGAGAGCAGAGGTGTGGAGGAGGCTATGCAGCTCCACAGGCTCATCAGAACTGTCGCACAGAGAGGTCGTCAGGTCACTCCCACTTTGGGGCAGGGCTGCGCAGGACGAGGAGGACAGGAAAGGGGCTCAAGGAAGGAACCAAGAGTGTCTTTCAGATTCTAGTCCAGGTCTCTCTCTTCAAGACATGGGTGGGTTGCTTAGGAAGTCCAGAAGCCACCCACTCTCAGCAGTTCTTGTCATCGATGACTTCCACGTAAGGCAGCCCCACGGGCCAAGTGTCCCGAGGCCAGTAGCGTACTTTGAGAGTCTGTCCTGGCATCTCGTACCTGGCGTCCACCAGGGCCATGGTGACCATGCCGTAAGGGAAGGTGATGCTGATGAGGACATGCCTTCAGGGTGCAAGGACAGAGTGGTGAGGACAAACCTGCCCCACACCAGCTTGATGCCCCAAGCCACCCTATCCTCTTCTTACTTCTCCAAATGACCTTCAGGACCTGCCCCCTGGGCTGCCTCCACCCTATATCACACTCAAGCCCAGAGTGTGTGCCTCCCAGCTCCAAACCCAGACTCTAGGCATCCAAGAGACTCTGTTCAGGGTCCCCAGCCACAGGGCAGGTGCTTACCAGATGCTGTGCAGATAGAAGAAACTAATCCGCTGCCAGAAGCTGCAAAGCAAACGATCACTGACCCAGCTGGTCAAGGCGAAAGCCCATAAAACCACAGAGACCTCAATGATATGCCGAAGCTCCTTATTGCTCGTCCTAGAGGAGGAATGAAGTTGGTTAGTGCCTGGCTCAGACAGCAGAGCCTGGAGGGCCAGTGGGTCACTCCATCTAGGGAGGTAAGTGGGGGGAGGCCCAAGGGTGCCTCCTCTGTTTGTTGCTAACACCTACTGGGCACTGACAGGTTGTCAGGTGCAGCTCCAAAGCCCTTTGGAAGCTCAGTCATCAGAACAAAGCTACTATTTCCATTTCATAGATAAGGAAACACAGGCGAGGGAGATTAAGTTCTGCCCTGGGCCATCCCAAAGCTACACAGCAGGTTGGCAACAAAGGGGGCCCAATTAACGAACAAACCCTCGGTGTTTGTGTGTTTGGGGGTATATGTATGTTACACCTGTAGATGAGTGCATGAGAATTGTGTGCAAGGATGCCATTTCTTGGAACAACTCATCATCAGAATCTGTTCCTTGACAGCATGGCTAGCCCAGTGCCCCTTAGCAGAAAGATGGCAGATTAAAAAAGCAATAATCATTTATGGTTCAAAGTGCAAGTACCGATCATTAGCCTAACATGGGAAAACGTCAAAAAAGAACAAGGAATAAGGACTGGTAAAATCTAAACCAAGTCTGTGGCTGAGTTAACAGTGTTGTCCCACCGTCAATTTCCTCCCTTTTAATTGTGTTGTTGGGTAAGCCATCGCCAGCACAAGACTACTATCTTTGCTACATAGTGAGTCTGCAATTATTTAAAATAAAAAGCTAAAAACCATACTGAATGCAACAGATTGAAAAACTTCAGAAATATAAACATCCGTGGTTCGCAATATTCAGAAGAAAAAAACAACAGCATTAGTCAGTACCAGAGATGGCTGAGGCCCCATCATTTCCAAGTTGAGGAGCAAGTCTTTCTTGATGAAAGAACTCTAGATAATCAGTGCAAACGAATTAACAGAATCTGCAAATCACCCTTCTGCTAGTACGGGTGCTGAGCATCAGTGGTGACTGAAATCGTTAGGCGAAAGGCCAGCGGAAAACATAACAAAGGAACCTCCACCCCAATCCACTGGCCAATCTTAATGGCCCTAAACGTGGGTCAGCCACTCATCATGGGGTCCTCCTGGGATGGGACAACAAGCACTCAGTGCCAGGCATGGAATATTCTGAACTGAAAAAAAAAATGTGAAGCTGAATCTAGGTCTAATGAGTAATTTGAAAAAAAAAAAAAAGTCAAAAAATAAGGAAACACATTGAAGTCACTATCGGAAGCAGTCAGCCACATCCAGAATGTGGGAGCTTCTACAGGATGAACATGTGAGTTTCTGTGATCAAACCAGAGGTGTGAAAAAAGGGGGGAGCTCCTCTGAAATGAAGAAGCCAAAGATTGTGTTCGGATCCTGATGGAAGCAAGTCCAGGGGAAGTAGGCGTCTTTGAGAAACTGTGTTGACTGGGTGTAGATACTGTTTGAAGGAAGTACTGTTAATTTTGTTATAATTGTTGCACTGTGGTTTCCTTTTGTGCCTCTGGATCCTTCCTTACGCTTCTACACTCTGCCATTTGCAGGGAAGGAGAGGAGGACGGAGTTGTGTGGCAATCCAGGTACATTCTTGTCCCCGGGGTCCAGTTAGCTTGATCCATTGTTTCCACATAGGTTGCCGAGTGGGGGAAACTAAAAGTGTGTGTGCGGGGGAGGACTGTGAGGATATGCGTTTCTAGAGCTCCTTCCCTGCAGAGGGCTCAGGCTCTGCACACAGACCTTCCCCAAGATGCTTTCTCCCTCCAGATTCTTATAGTCACCCCTCCCACCACTGCCCACACCAGGTCACCTGTGGTCACAGAAGCCCATTCTCCTTAGCACTGTGGTTCCAAACGATCCCTTCCCTCTCCTTTGCAAATAACTCTTTTATTCAACTCTTCTCAAATCACCCCATTGAGAATCCTTTCTGCATACTGCTAGGACTTCATAAGGGTTAATAATAATATATAAATAGTAAGTATTTATCAGGACAGTTGAATCCCGAAAAATGAATGGTGGCATTTTATGAAATCTGGAGGGGATGCGGGTGGACAAAATGCTGATGGTATTGGGGCTGCTGAGCCAGCACATGGGGCTCGGGGTGCAGTGCCCTCTGCTTATAGGCACACTTGGGGGTGATCACATGGGAAGATGAGCTCGGCAGTCAGAGTACTAGGTAGTGTTACGATTCCTGGCCCTGCCCCTCATCGGCCTGGCACCAGTGAGGTCAGGGTGGGTGTGCACAGAGCAGTGTGGAAGGGCAGTGGGGCCCCATCCCCCGCACCCCAGTCACCACCCACTTCTTGTACTCCTGGACCACGATGTAGAGGATGTGCGCGGCGATGCTGTTGAGGGCGTATGCGTTGACTGTGGGCCTCAGGAAGGACAGGAAGGTGCTGACCACGGTGGTGATGATGACCAGGAGTGAGAACTGCAACCTGGGGGAGGAGGGCTGAGCTGTAGGGAGGCAGGTGTGGGGAGACCCTCGGGGGGTCATGCGGGCTCTTGTGCACAGTAGGTGTTCTGGGGAGCCTGACTGGACCCAAAAAACTGTCTTGTGACTCCAGGTGGGCTCAGCAGAGGCTTCAGCAGGCCTCAGTGGGGTCAAGCAGGGTCTCAGATGGAGCCTGGAAGGCACAAGCTAGATGATGAAAGAGTCTCAGGGGACCTGAGGAGACTTAGCTTAGAAAAGGCTGCTGGGGCCCTAGTGAGGCCAACTGAGGAATTGAGAAAAGAGAGCAGGGTCCTGGAAGACTTGGGTGGTCAAACAGTGTGAGGCGTTTCCAAAAGGTCTTGGGTGAAGAGAGAGGCCCCGAGGGATCAGATGATAGGGGAGAGGTCCTTGAGGCCCAAGTAAGCTTAGCCATGGTGTTCTAGGCCCTCCAGATGGGTTCCGACAAGGTCTGGGCAAGGCCCCAGATGGTCCAAATAGAGAGAAGACTCCAAAGCCAGGGATAAGAGAGGATTTCCAGGGTCTCAAGCACACTCAGAGGAGGGGCTTGTCAAGACAGGCAGAGGAAGGAGAAAACCCAAGGAGGGTCAGGGAAGGGATCCCAAGGCTTGCAAGGAGACTTGGGTAGGGGGCCTGGCATGATCAACAGAGAGATCAGGCCCCACCCTGACAGAGGGCAGCCATGTCCTACCTGCTTTCCCTCAGGAAGGCCGGGAAGTAGCAACGGGGCATCCATATGCTGTAGCCACTGGCCAATAGCCACAAGATAGCAATCTCATCTAGCATCTGGCCCAGGAAGCTGAGCGTCATGTGGAAATACATGGAGAACAGACCTGGAACAAGAAATAAAGGCACAAGTTCAAAGCAGCCGCCCCTTCCTGCCCCCACCACCCCACTGTCACAGACCCCCACATACCTATGACTATGAAGAGGATCCAGGTGATATAAATGTAGCGGGAGCGTTTCTGGGCATAAGGGTGCATCAGAAATATCATGAGAGGCCCAAAGATGAGGAAAGTGACATTGCTGAACTGAAGAAGAGGAAGGGGTTGTCAAACGGGGGAGGCAGGGCCGGCCTGCCCATCTGTCCAGTCCTCAGTCATTAGCCAACCAGTTACCTGCACCTTTCAGGCAATGAATCAACCCGGGTTTGCCCATGTTTCAGCTGGACAGTCAACCATTATCAATAGATCCATCACACCTTCCAATATTCATCCATAAGTGTGGCAAAGACAATCTACTAACCTTCTACATATACCCTTCCCCACCCTTCCCTTTCAGAAATAATATCATCCCAGTTTTACTTGGACTCAGTTACTCAACTAAAGGCTACATTTCCCAGACTTTTCTATGATTCACTTGTAAAACCAGATCACTTGACCTTGATCTGGTTAAAAGGATAGGGATGTACATGTTTATTGTTGCTTTATTTATAATAGGAAAGACATGGAATCAACCCAAATGCCCAAAAGTAGATGACTGGATTAAAAAGATGTGGTACATATACACAGTGGAATATTACTCAGCAACCAAAAAAGAGAAACACATGCCTTTTACAGCAACATGGATGGAGCTGGAAGGGATCATGCTTAGTGAAATAAGCCAGGAAGAAAAAGGAAAATACCGGATGGTTCCACTCATAGCAGGATCATAAAGGACCAGGGCAGAAGGGAGGGAGAAATAATAATAATAATGAGCAACTATATACCAGAGACATTTTATGGGGGTGGAGTAGGGGATGGGGTCAAAAATGGGGGGGAGGACACAGGACTATGGTGATAGCTCACATGTGAATTGGCGATGGGAAGTCCATGGGGATTACAACTGAGATGGGAAAAGTCATAAAATGTTGCAAAAATAAAAAATTATAATAATAATACAAAAATACAATAAAAAGGATTGGGATGTAAATGAATCTATAATTTCTAGGTCAGTCCTTAAGAAGCAGCTTAAGGCTGGTCTTTTACTTCCTGTGAACTGAAGTACAAAGGTGGTGGTCATGAGCTAGCCGAAACCCTGTAGGTATGGAAAGACAATGCAATATCCTTGAGACTATCCAACAAGTGACATGAAGCAGATTTGATGCTTCATGGCTTCAAGTTTAGGTCATGAAAAGGGCTATGACTTGCATGTGACAGTCTCAGTGTGTGAGACTTTGGAACTCAGAGCCACTGAATAAGAAGACTGGGTATCCTTAAGGTCATCATGCTGGAGAGACCACAGAGAGACTGAGAGAGACAGTCCCCCTACGACTGATTCTTCCCAGGTTACTTACCACACACATGAGGGAATACAACTCCCCCAACTTCAGGTCACCCCCAACTGATGACAAGTAGAGCAGAGATAAGCTCTCCCTGCTAAAAACTAGCCAAATTATAGACTCGTGAGCAAAACAAAATGGTAATTGGTTCAAGTCACTAAATTTAAGGATGATTTGTTATGCAGTATGAGCTAGCTGAGACAAAGAAGTGATATTGCTGTGAGGAGGGTTGGCTAGGAAAGACTTTCAGGGTGAGGGAAGGAGACAAGGAGACCTGCAGAATTCCATGGCTGCACAGCTATGTTCTTTGCCAAGGTGGCCCAGGGTTCTTAGTTACCTGTCTCCTTATAGTAGACATAGACGGTCTTCTAGGTCCAGACATAGACGGTCTTCTAGGTCCAGCATAGAAGAGCTGGGGCGTAGGCCAGAGGTATGGAGGGGGGTGAGAGGATTCACCAGCAACAGAGTGGGGAGCAGAACAGATGGATTAACCAAAATACACTGCTAAGAAGAGCAGTGGGGGAGAGAAGAGATCTCCTGAGAGAAGAGACCATGTGGGTCAGTTCTCTGGCCAGGGATCGAACTCAGGCCATAGTAGTGATAGTTTTGAGACATAACCCGTAGGCACCAGGGAGGCCCCTATTCCCAGAGTCTTATCTCATTCTCAAAATAATCCTGCCAAGTAAGTATTGAAGAGTATTGAGCGTTGTAGAAGGAGATATTGATTCTCAGAGTGGTCAAATGGTCCAACTCAATATGCAGAGAATATGAAATCAGATCACATGTGAGTTTCAGCATGAAGTATCAGAGTCCTGTTTATCAGAGCAGCAGAAACAACTTCATAGGTTTCAATCAACATGTGATGAATGACATGAGCCAGAGCAATAACAATAACTGCTGAGAATACGACAGTTACAGTGGAGTGGAGAGTGAGCAGAGACAATCACACTCCTTTCTTCCTCCTTACCAAACCATGACTTGGTTTAGTATTCAGAGAGCACGTCCTTCTCGGGAAGCCAAAGCCCCAGACCCACAAGGGGCAAACAACTGGCAAATTAGTAACAGCTGGCACAAGCTAATTTGCTCCTTTCCTTCTTCTATGTAATCTGACTATCTAGGCGAAAACAACATTTCCCAGGTTTCTTTGCAGCTACACATGACCATGTTCCTAAGTGTTAGCCAAAGAGACACAGGCAAAAAAATCATTGTCAGGTTACTTTCTTTTTTAAAAATATTTATTTATGTATGCACACAAGAACTGGGGTACAGGCCAGAGATGTGAGGGGTGAGAGGCTTCCCCAGAGACAGAGTGGAGAGCAGAACAGGTAGGTCTACTGAAATACACTGCTGAATGGGGTAGTGAGTAGGGCCAGAGAGGTCTGCTGCACCTCTGATCCCTGACCAGGGATCAAACTCGTGCTGCAGTGGCTACAGATAGCTCCATAGTGCTGCACATTAACCTGTTGCACCAGAAAGAAGGGCCCAGGGTTACTTTCTTAAAGGGAGGGGTGCGCCATCCCCTTACCCCACTCTACTGGGATGCAGATATGGTGGAGTAGCTTCTTGGATCATACAAATGAGGTCAGTAGCCTAGAGATGGGAAAAAAACCACGCGGAAGGAGCCTGGGTCCCTGGCGCAAGGTAGATTTCTCACACTAGCCCTGGTTAATGATTCCCCGAGTTGGTGATTGGATGTTACATAAGAAACAAGCTTCTATCGTCATTAAACCATTATTAATTTAGTTCTCTACTATAGCCACTGAACCTATATTCTAAGCTTCTATACCCCCTTTCTTCCTGGCTACATAAATGTGACTTTTATTTAGGTATTAGTAGGATGTTGCCTTCAAGAAGGTAGGTTTTAGCCCCAGGGCATGAATCATTTCCATTCTCAAGTTATTGGTTCAGGACTAGATAGTGACATAAATCCAGCCAATGAAACATAATGGAAGTTTGATGAAGTAGGAAAGTTCTCCTTACCAAAATCAAGCCAAGTGGAAAGATCTTTGGACACTGTGTGATATTTAAGATGTGGTGGTCATTTTGCAACCATGAGGAAACAAGACTGAGAGCAAAAACAAATACTCAGAGACGGTGATTCTCAAACTCTTTGGCCCCAAGAACTTCTTATATTTTTAAATATTATTGAGGATCCCAAGGAGTTTTTGCTTACTGTGAGGATCATGCTTAGTGAAATAAGACAGAAAAAAAAATACCAGATGGTTTCACTCGTAGAAGGAGTATAAGGGATCAGGGGAAAAAAAGTAATTGTAATAAAGTAAAAACAAACATCAACTAACAACTATAAACCAGAGATATTCTATGGGGGGAGAGGGGAACAGAATCAAAACTGGGTGTGAAGAGCACACGGGACTGTGGTGATGGCACAGGGGTGAAATGGTGGTGGGAAGTCCATGGGGATTATAACTGAGATGAAAAAATGTACAGAGTTAAGAATGATGTAAAATATATATATGTACATACATATGTAAATATATTTTAAAAAAGAAATGGAAACCAAGATATTTTAAAAGCACCCGACTCCACTTCCCTTGACTATCAGAGAGAAAACATCATGCCATGTCATGTAGCTTCTAGAAAATTCCATGTCATGTAGCTTCTAGAGAATAAGAGTAAAAAAGGAAAGTGAAACATTCCTATTATTATGAAAATAATGTTGACCTCAAGGAGCCACTGAAAGGGGCTCAGAGACCCCTGGAAATCCCTGGACAATATTTTGAGAACAAATCTCTAGAATTAGAAGATAGAAAGAACCAAGTAGCTTGAAGATTTGAGCTGCTGAATTAACCTAGCCAGGAACAATCTACCTCCAGACTTCATTAAAACAATACTACTAAGATTTTTTTTTAATTCAGTTTTTTAAGGTGTTTTGGAGCAAGCCTCCTGATGTATAGGCTTTAGGGTACAAGCAACATACAGCAGGAGCCATGCTCCCTTACTCACTAACAATGGGCCTTGAGAAGGTAACTTCCTTCCACTAAGCTTCCATTGCTCTGGATTTGTGACATACACATAATGCCACCTGCCTCTTCATGCGCCTGGCCCAAAAGATCCTAGGTCTCACTAACCTACAAGTACAGTTACAGTCACAGGAACATTCACACCAAAATTTTAATGGCTCAAAGTCTCTAACTTGATGCAGGAAGTTGATACCCCATAAAGTCACCCCAGATATATCTGGGTCACAGCAAACATCTCACATCATCTCAGAAACCAGTGTTGCCCTGGTCTTCCTCCTGCTAACTTGCAGACAGCATCCTTGCTCACTCAGCCACATTCTCCCCTCCCAGTAAACCTCTCCCTCAGAAAGGGCTGCAGCCCATCTTTTTAAAGGAAAGACCTAGCATCCTACTAACTAGGGTGCTGTCATTTCTCAGCACCATCTAGATAAAAAATTCAGAGTCTGGTGGTGATTGTGGATAAGACTTTGCCTGATACAAGGTATGAACACAAGTCTTGGGCATCTAGGTTCCAGAGGTAGGTGTTTCCCTCATTCTAGAGAAGCTGATGGGTGGAAACAGTGAAAGGTCACAGTCTGAGAACCCAACGATTGGACATGTAAGCTAACTGGTTCCCAGTCCGGGCTTCCACCAATACCCTTGTTTTCCATACCAAGATCTCTGGTCAATGGACAAGGTCAAATACACCTTCAGGATGGCAGCCCAGTTCCCAATGTGCTATCCCCAAACACAGAGGCCTCCCCAGCACTTGCCCTTCCTGTGTCATGAGACCCCCCAACACACAGGCATT